CAGGAAGCTCTTCGAAGTTGTTTAGGTGTAGCCAAATTCACAGCTAACAATTGTTTTGTATCAAGAAACTCGGATACTCACTCTTCCCTGCAGATTCCTGTATTTTAACAGTTAAAACCTATTTAAAATTTTCTGAATACACTTTAAGAAGCCGACAGTTCGTATTCTTTGCCGAGTCCGGTATCTTTTGCAATGAGCATTGGTCCCGTGTATATAAACCCCAAGTACTATTTGTTCAAACACTTCTAAATGATTTAAATGCTAATATATTTGAGATCAACTAGCTGATAAACCAATCGGCCAAGTGCAAATATAATAGGACGTTATCTTCCCAGTGAATGCTATACACTTGATCTCTAAATATTTGATTGGTTTATTAGAAGAACACCTGTCTCAATTAGGTATTGACATAGTAATTTCAACGGATGCATCTATGTTTGGCGAGAAGGCAAGTGTGGGTATAATTTCTTTCTCATTATTCTGGTTCTTTTCATTACCCCTCCAAGATTATACACTGATATTTGAAGCGGAATTAACGGCCGTTATACTAGCTCTTTGTCAATTTCCTGCGACTCATTCGACAGCTGTGATAGTGACTGACTCGTATTCCGTGTGTTCATTTTGATCATCGTCGTCGGCATCAGAAGTACTAGAAACTTTTAAATCATTAATCCCAGCAAACATTTGTCTAGTACGAATGATATGGGTGTCAGGCTATCGTAGTATACTTATAAATGAGATGGCTGACTCACTCGCGCGAGCATCTCTTGATCTTCCGATTGTGCAAATCATGCCTCTTACAACTTATGTAACAGCAGCGAAGTTCAGAAAAGTTTTCTTTCTTGAAGACTCATAAAATATTACGATACCGAATCCAGATTTCTCGCACCTGCACTTCACGTGAAAAATTAAATGGTGTCCCACGTGTAAACTGGAAGTCTCTATAACAAAATTACGTTGCCGTTTACCACCTCTTAATTTCTACCTAAGCAGGTCTGATCTGGTGCCATCCCCTCTGAGCTCAAGCTGTAATGAACCCGAACATATTGACCATTTTCTTCTCACTTGTCACCTTATCAAAAATCATTGAGAAAGTGATTGTTTCGAAATTTTATTGAAAAAACCAGGAATATCACTTACTACTACTAATATTTTGCCTTTTGGGGCCGCTTCATTAGGACAAAGCGACAGGAACATCTCCGGGGCTCTCTGCGAATTCCTATGTACCACAAGAAGATTAACTTGCTGAGTCATTGATCAGCTCTCAATTTTTACTAGCCAATCTAACATTTATTATTTAGCTATTACACTGTAATAATTTATTCTTTAGAGGAATTTCATATAACCATTACACCTCAGATATTCACCAAATTTTATTATTTCTCTTCTTTCCTTTTTTCCCATTGTGCCAAATTAATCCCGCCAAGTCAAAACAAAGTAATCCTATTTCTCTAGTCTGAATAACCTAAAGGTACTGACTTGCATTAACCACCGGCTTCTTGGCTGATCTTCTTTAGTGGGTGAGAGCTACGAAAGAAAGGATCAAGCAAGCAAGCAAGCAAAAAGCGCAGGACCAACGACGGTCCCGGGCCAGACATTTTTGGAAATACGAATGTAAGCTCACGCACGTCTCCTCGCTTTCAAGCACAGAGGGACGACAAAGGACGACAAAGAACAATTGAATCGCGAAGTAGAGGTTATAGTGGATTTAAACACGTCATAGCCCCCGAAAACTAATCTCCATGGGGTGGGCACTTCTTGAAACACAATGAAACTATCTTTCACATCGAGGTTCGACTGCCAAGCACAAAGAAGGAAACCTGGGCTAGTTGGTGATAGTTAATTTTTCATCAGCTTACAGCGCTAAAAGAACGAGGATGAAGTTCAAAGAAGGTTGGCTTTCAAGGGAAGCTTGTTAATCGAAACAAGACTAAATGCACACACCAACCAGGTTTCAACGCAGTAACGGTGTGTGTGCAAGAGAGTAATCCAAGTAATGTGACCATGCTAGAACACACGGAATATATACTTGCGTTAAGAAACAATGGAGACATTCAACTAACAGTCACAAATGTGCTATCAAACCTTTTTCTGTTTTAGTCAAGAAGAAGATCTGAAATTCAGAAATCGCACCTCCTCTTTTATGAGGGCAACAGACGGATGGCTGATGCACTTCTCCACATTGTCATTAATGAGCATAGCCGTTCCTATTTGATCCATGTTATGATGCTTATGCTGCTACAAAAAAAAATCTGTTTCGCCCACCTTCGATGCCCAGTCACAATCTGCGTGGAATGATTGCAAGTGCTAGCCGCGTGTGGGGCTCCACGAAGACGGATGCTTTCTCAATCTATAATTCAGGCATAACCCGGTTCTTCCAATATGCTCACACTCGCGTGGTAATGGCAGGCAACCTGTTAACAACAACTGGCCTACATCTAACGCGTCCTTCTCTTTCTCAGAGCAGCAGTTACAATCCTTATTAACGATCAGATCATTAACAGTAAAAAAATAGAGGTGTACAAACCACCCGTATGCTGGCCTCAGCGAAAAAGAGGTCCACTTTCTAAATATCAAATTGCCTTCTTGATTAAGGCGGTAGATGGTTTCTTCGCAAACTGGCGTTTGTTAGGTCCATTTCTTCATTTGCTTTTGGACGCATGTGTATTCTCCACGTGTTCTGGAACGTTTACATCTGGCGGAATATTATTCCTAACACACGCAGTCACTCTGTTCAAATGTGGTTGGCCATTGTATTGATTCGTAAACGTCTGTTGACAGCCAACCGTCTTTAAACTTTGGCCTCGTTGATTTAGCGCTGTAAACTGGTAACAAAGGTAAGTGGAAAGGCTCATTGTAGCAGCTGCAATGAAAGAGAAAAATATTGTGTCGATAACTGACAATACATTGACAACGCAGAACGCGTTTTATTCTATTACGGAAACTTTACCAATATCTGAAGTTCATGACCGAAATAGACAACGACGAGAGGTGACGTTTATAAACTTTAATTAGCAGTTGGTTGATTGATTGATTGATATGTGGGGTGTAACGTCCCAGCAGTTGGTTGCCGCAAAAGTTGTTAATTCTGTTAAGCATCTTTCGTTGCATCTAGCCAGCTCTGTGGTTTCCTTTGATTCACTTTGTGTTAACAATATCATACAGGCCAAATGTTGCTATTTGCGAGATACTTTCATGAAAAAAAAAATTGAGAACATTGATAACGAAAACTAGAGGGATGAAAGTTACAGTTATGTATTTTTAGTGTTTGGTATATCGACCGTTTTTTTTTTTCCTTGACGAGTGAATGTCGAGGCGACAATATATATATATATATATATATATATATATATATATATATATATATATATATATATATATATATATATATACATACATACATATATATATATATGTATATATATATGTATCGTCAAACGAAACAAAACATATTTGCTTTGAAAAGATGCTCCTAAAGACGCCGCATCATCCAGGTTATAACGGTGTTTGGATGTACGATATACCATTCAACATTACCCGTCAAACTGTTATACGAATGTTATGGGGAAAAGAAGAACTAGGTGCTTAATGGCAGTCACTGACGGTCGTGCCGGTGAATATGCATTGCTGTATTTCAAAAAGAAAATATATATACTTGTACTTTGAAATCTGAGCTGCTATTCTTGTGATTGGGGCGACTGAATTAACTTTTTGCTCACTGTAAATTATTGGCTCAGCTTGGGTATTTTCCTGGCTTCTTGCTGACTGCTACGTCAACATTTCTCCTGTCAACATAGAGGCTGCAGGGCCCGACTGATTCGTCAAGACAGACCCCGCCTGACGTCGACGAGAGGTTCTACTCAAGACAAATGTGAGTTGGTGATAGATAGTGTTTATTGGCGTGAGAGCTGGGTTCTACAAAGAGCGCCCGCCTGTATGTTGGCCTGTCACACCGTGTCACACAGTGCCTGGGGTATACTTATCGAAGCAAGCGCGCAAGTGTTCGGTGGACCCTAGGGGCACATTGCGATCCCGTGCGGTACGTACGAAGGAGGATGCGATGAATTAAAGCGCGAGACAAACATGCGATTTTCCGTGCGATGTGCCGTGCGGTGCGACGATGCGACAGCCGGAAGTGGTGACGTTTCGTGACGTATCATCGCATCGCACCGCCGCATAGCCGGTGCGGTGAGCATCAGACCAGCCGGATATTTTCGTCGCCGCATCGCACCACTGCATGGCAGCAGCCAATCACAGCGCGAGCAGATGAGTGACGTCACGCTGCTAGTGGCGCCATCTCCCAGTCGGGGCCAGTTCAAAGCGAGTCGATGGAGCGGTGCGTGCGGGGATTTGCTGATCGCCGACTGCAGCGGCGTGACAAACATCGAGTACATTTCCCTGATGACGTGATATTATTCCGGAACGAATAAAGTGGTGTTTCAAGTGTGCCATTTCTGCACGACAACGCCCGTTTTAAAACTGTTAGCGAGATCGGAGATTTTGAGCAGCGATGCAAGGTCATTTCGCAGGTAAACACGGCTACCAGCGTTTCGGCAGTGGTTCGCTTCGCTTCTACCGTTGCTCTTCACATCGATGGCATCGAGAAAGTAATAGCGTATGTAAACGCATTACATACGAGTGCAAAGCCTAATAGTGTTGTCAAAAACAAGCGCTCGATGATGAGCTCTCGTGTGAACGGCGTAGGCGACTGCCGGTGCCCGCCATGCTAGGCCTACTCTTCGGAGTCGTGAATAATCAGCTGTTACCGATGTTGCGACGTGCTTGTCGTTCACGAAGAGGTTTTATTCACTATTTTTTATGGGATAACGAAGCGTGTAGGCACAATGTTGTTTGTTTTGAGCTTAATTACGAGGATACGAAGTCGTCCGATTGCGCATGCCGAGGAGCCACATGAAGGTGGAGCCAGCCACTGATAGCTCCTTCGCCCCCGTGTGTCCCAAAACGTCGCATGCGGAATGAATGAATGAAACCATGTTTATTCCACTTTGTTCGCGCCGAAGGCGCTGCGGTGGACAGTCAGGGCACTATAGCAGGGGGGGGGGGGTAGAGCTGCCTCCGTTTTATTACCGGACGTCATGGAGGCAGCTAAGTGGGGGCCGCTTGAATGGCTTGAATCTTGTGGCTGTCGCGGAGCCGGTCGCCAACCGGTGGCGCGGCCGGGTCCTGGAGGAACATGATGAGTGCTCGCCAGAACTCGATGGCGCGATCAGGGGGCGAAGGCTCCGGGCAGGCCCATGTCCGGAGAGAAGAAGGCCAGGGTCCCCGTTTTATGGTGGCCAGGGCACGGAGCCTAGGCGGGTTGTACACAGGGCACTCCCAGCACAAATGGTTGAGATCAGCCCGGCAGTTGCACGTGGAGCAGAGACCTGTCACGGGTGGTGGCGTGTCACCCCTGTGGAAACGGTTCAGCAAGAAAGGGGTAAGGAGTGTTCCTGCCTGAATTCTCCGAAGCAGGACAGACTCTCTCCGTGTGAATACCTTCGAAGGAAGCAATGGTATCGAGAGTGGATTACCCACTGCTGTGAGGTAGGCGGCGCGACGTTGTTTGGTAATGTGCTTATCTGCTATCGGATCTGCTAGCTCGGGTGGGGTAGCCAGAAAAGTGGAAGGAGTATCGGAAGCTCTGGCTAGCGCGGTGAGGAGATGAGCGCGCGCTAATCTGTGAGCCTTCTCGTTTCCGGGGATACCGCAATGCCCGGGGACCCAGTGGATGGTAACGTCATGACCACATTCGCGGAGCAGGCGCGTCTGGTGTCGGATCTTCTGGAGTACAGGATCTGTGTAAAGAACATTAGCGCATGCCCGATGGGCAGCCTGGGAATCAGTGTACACACGATGGTGAACAGGGTCAGTTTGAGGTGACATTTCGAGGGCCCACTCCAAATAATCTAAGATGCCCACTAGCTCTGCTCGAGTGCTATACATCGCATCTGCTGAAGCATGATAACGTCGGCTCTGATTTCTGTTTGTCTGGTCGTACCACGCAGTGGCATAACAAGTGTTACTGGTACCGTCTGCAGGAAGTGCAGCGTCAGTGTATACGACGCGTTCAGTCATGGGGAGTGAACTCGTGGCCCTAGCATGTCTCTTGGCGTAGTTAAGGCGCCGTGCTCGCTGATTAGGGTCCATATTCAACGGAAGTGGCTTGCCGTCGGTGAGTACCGTGATTTCCCAAGGCGGCGTTTTGTTAGGCAGCATGGGCAGTGTGTTGATGTCATACCCGAGAAGCATAAGCGTGTATCGCCCGGCATTTGTTGCGCGAAGCCTCGTTTCCTGTGTGTGGATGTGCATGTCGATGAGCTCGGTCAGATTATTGAGCTTGCTGCAGCTCTTGAGCGCATCCAGGCGTGTGTACCTTGGTAGTCCGGTAACCATGCGTTTGGCCTCGTTAAGCAGCCGGTCGAGTTTGATTATCTGCGTACGGTTGACCGGATGATACGGCAGTCCATACATGATACGTGAGACGAGAAAAGCTTGAACAAACTGCCGCATTTCGCGTTCGTTTACTCCACGAGTGCGATTAGAGATTCTGCGTAAAGCATGAAGGATTTGTTTGCTAGTCTTCGTAACGCGTTGGAACCAAGTGCTCGCTGTGCAATTCTCGTCTAAGTGCATTCCTAATATTCGGATAGTGGATTTCCTCATTATAGGTTGATTGCCAATGTGAAGTTTAAAACACTTCTTTTCTTCCTGCTTGGCAAACGTGGTTCGGCCACCATGAATGACGACAAACTCTGTTTTGTCTGGAGCGGTGTGTAAACCTGCTTCCATTGCGTAGTCGTGAATAATGTTGAGGGCTCGTTGTAAGACATCCTCCTGCTCACCGACGGATCCTTGATGCGTCCACACGGTTACATCATCTGCATACACCGCGTGTTTCAGGCCCGGTACGTTCGCAAGGCGTCTTGGTAGCTGGTACATGGCTATGTTAAAGAGGGTGGGTGAAATCACCGAGCCCTGGGGAACACCTACGTGGTTGGTTCGTACGGTACTGGCGTCTTGGCCGATTTCGACTTGGTAGCTTCGCCCTTCGAGGAAGCCCGCTATGAAGTTATACATTTTCCCTTTAATCCCAAGGGCACGTGCTTTCGTCATGATGGTACTGTGTGGTACGCCATCGAATGCTTTGCGTATGTCCACTGCTACAACAGCCCGTGGGTGCACCGAGTTAGAGTCGAGGACGTCTTCTTTTAGGCGAAGGAGTACATCTTGAGTTGATAGGCCCGCGCGGAATCCGTACATTGTAGGGGCCAAAAGGTCGCGATCTTCAAGGTACATGCGGCACGCCACACCATGCGACACGCCGCGCCATGCGACACCGCACGCCGCATCGCACGGAAAATCGCACGTTTGTCTCGCGCTTAACGCGCGGTGCGTTCTGTCGTCGCTCACTATTGAAAGCGTACGAAACGCTGATAACAGCGCTGCCGCTGTGGGAGCTCGTTTCACATATATAGCAACATGGCAGTGCTGGACTAGCGCGTTCGCTGGTAGCAGTCAAGCGAGTTACGCGCGAAGTGGTGTTTATCTGTAGTGGCATCGCCAACTGACGTCGATGCCGTAATCGTTGATAGGCCTTTCTCAGCACTTTCCGAAAAGATGGATACCGTTGATTGATATATGGGGTTTAACGTCCCAAAACCACCATTTGATTATGAGAGACGCCGTAGTGGAGGGCTCCGGAAATTTCGACCACCTGGGGTTCTTTAACGTGCACCCAAATCTGAGCACACGGGCCTACAACATTTCCGCCTCCATCGGAAATGCAGCCACCGCAGCCGGGATTCGAACCCGCGAACTGCGGGTCAGCAGCCGAGTACCTTAGCCACTAGACCACCGCGGCGGGGCAAGATGGATACCATTAGGTGCGGCATTGTGTCATTGGCAATTTTGAGATTTAGGTGGAGTGGTTAATCTACATGCGACGAATTGTGATCGAGGTACACGGCTAAGAGTATGGGAGAAGACGAGCCACTGCGACAGTTATTACATTATACTCTATCATGTCTCAGTTATTGCTGTATCCTGATTAAGTTATGAACGTAGTATCCGAAAACTGGAGAGTATGACCGGTGTTTCACGTTAAAAAACAAAAACTGCAACATTAATAAGAGCTTACTTCTTCGATTAAACGAATCAGCCGTGATAGTCACGTCTTCAACCGCATGTTCGGCAGTCTCCGAAGGGGCAGTCACCCTATGAAATATATTTAAAATATCTAATAATACATACATACTACATAATAATACATACATAGTAATACATACATAATAATAAATACAATAAGCACACAGCTTCCAACAAAAATTCGACGAGGCGACGCTACTGCTCTGTGCAGACTATGGTTGGGAGTCGCGTTTACCGGTGCGTACGCGTTCCGCATAGGTATGGCCGACACCGCCGACTCTGCACACTGCGGAAATGAAGAAACCATTTGACATATCCTGTGTGACTGCCCGAAATACAACCTGGAAAGACAACACATTTCTAATAAGCTAAACAGGTCAGATGACCAGCCACTGTCAGAAGAAAGTATACTGCGCCATCGTCATGACTCATCGTCACAGAAGAAAGCCGTGCAAGCGCTACTGGGCTTCTTGCGAACTACTGGCCTGTCGGAACGCCTCTGAGTGGACTGATTTTGTGTGTGCGTGTGTGTCGGTGTTTTTCTCTTATTTATTTTTTAACTCTTCCTTTCTCTTTCAACCCCCTATTCCCCAACCCCAGTGTAGGGTAGCATACCGGATACTAGCATCTGGTTAACCTCCCTGCCTTCTTTTTTTCTCGTTTCTCTCTCTATCTAATAATAATACTGTAGTCGTATTCGACAATTATAGGACTCGCGCTCCACTAGTGTGAACTGATTTATTGTTTTACTTTGGCGCCTGCGCAAAAAACAAAAAAACATGGCATATCCATGAAGTGAATGATGATGAGTGGCTGAAGAAAGGGATCGTTTGGTGTTGCCATAAGTCACCTGTGACATTGTCCACGCATGTAAATGAGTGCCAAGTGGTGTACAGTTATACACAATGTTTATTGGTCATAAGAATTATGTTGTGCTGGGTTGTGAATTTCGTTTTGCCTTCATTGTTACGGTTTCATGGTATCAAATCTGGCCCGAAGTTGACAAAGACGAGTTCAGGGCACGCTTCCCTGTGGTTGTTCGTTGTTTTTAATCGTGCACGAAATGCATCGTAGAACATCTCAAGACGTCATAAAATGCACAAGCCAGTCGTTCTCCGTGATCATCATTGTCATCAGCATATTCGTCAGCGTCATAGCGCTTACTATAGGTACCTTGCATACCATGATGGCAGAGAGAATGCGTGGTCTGGAACGCGCTTTTTCTTCGTAGTCATGAGCGTTATCATCAGGACGTATTAGTGGCTACCTTGCATGTGCTGTGCCGTGATGGCAGAGAGGATGGGCGGTCTGGAACGCGCTTGTTCATCATCATCATCATCATCATCAGCAGCAGCAGCAGCAGCACCACCACCACCATCACCATCATCATCATCATAATCATCATCATCGTCTTCGTCGTCGTCGTCCTCATCTCCATCGTAACGGCTGCTACGACGCTCAACACCAACAGACAAGCCTCGACCTTCAGGAGATTTGCCCTTAAAAATCACTTGGTATACTTTCGCAGCTACGTGCTCGGAGACACGCCATGCTGCGCATGGCGCAGTCGGACGTGCTGGTGTGCAGAGTGGGAGGACTGGGCGTGGGGATTGCCCAAAACGTAATTCTGGCTGCCGGCAAGTCGGTCACCATTCATGACGAGGCCGTGTGCACTTGGAGTGACTTGACCTGTGCTCGCAATTGAGAACGTTTTTTTCCCCCTCGGCGTACCGTCTCCGCGTCCATGCAGTCATCGAAATCGGTGCTGAATACTCTATTTACCTCTACCATTCACCACGTTTTGATGTCGGAATTTTTACAATAATGCGGCGTTTGTTTTTTACACATGCGATTTCCGACAACAATGCGAATTCTGAAAAAGTTTGTATTTATATGCTACGAGCTAGTCTGCTCCCTAATCAACAATGGATTGGTGTGATAAGTGCTCATTGTGAGTGAATGACTGCCTTCACTAACTGGCATTTGTGCTTCAGAAAAACACTGTCCTAAACGCTTTCTTGCGATTACGACGCAAAGCAAGGTTTCCTTAATGCTTAGCCGAGCACACCTGACTTGTTCGATTTGGGATGATGAAGCCTATGGTAACTCGAATGTAGTTTGAATGAATGAATGACTGATTGAATGAACAAATGATTGAATGAATGAATGAATGAATAACAATGTTTATTTCACCGAAGGTGTGGCTTTCGGTCGCCGTTGGTTGTCAAGTAAAAATATATAGAGCATTACGTAAGAAACATGCGCCTACACTTACCTATATTTTTGTACACATCAGTCCACACACTTTTATAAAGTGTTGTGTACATAAGCTTGTACACACTTTTCTGTACATTTATGTGTGCTTATCCGTACTTTTTGGCACACGTTCGATTGGGGTACTTTCGCACAAACCATCGTCCTATTTTGCACCACTCGATACAGGCTACATTGACTACAGCGTGTCGCGATGGTCTTCTACATTTATAGATTGGCCAACTCCAGTAACATGGCGCAAGTGTACTCAGCATAAGTCCTGACTTGTATGTCGCAGAAGTATATTCAACGTTAAAATAAGGTCGCCCAGGACTCGGCAGGCGATTACAAAGTTACTATAATAACCTGATACGTGATTCGGAACGTTGCATCTATATAGAATACGGCACCATTCCGCATATGGCTGTACTGCCTGATTTGTGGTGTATTGTACTATGACTGCCAGTACTACTTCAGTGAGGAATGTCTGGGCGCGAGAACACAGCATCGGCTTCCGAGACATCACTGGCAAGACTGAACCAGTACGTGCGAGTGGAGGCCCACACAGAGCCCCTGAGAGAAAAGTTACTCAAGCAATTCAGCATGAGTGACCTTGTTTTGAGCGTACGATTGAGCGATTCTTTGTGCATATTGGGTCGGTTCTTAAAGATAGTGCAGGGTGAAACGATTTCACTTGCACTGTGTCTTGGTAATTTTGACTCTGCATGCTGGATAAAGCCAATCAGACATAGCAAAAGCATAGAAGTAAGTAGACGGACATTACGTTTCGTCAGGTTGGCTGTGTATGTTTGAGCAGCACTTAAGTGACACACTATGTACATGCTTTGGCGGTGAACGCAAGTCGGAGTTATATCCATTTTTTTTTCTTCCAGGTGGTGGTGTTGACGAGGAAACCACTAAACAAGCAAGATGAGATCGCTGCCTTTGCCCGAGAGAGCAACACTTCACTGATCGTGGCCGACACCCGGGGTCTGGTGGGGTAGGTTTTGCCGACGATAACAGTTCCGTTGCACTACACTAACTGACTGAAACACAAAAAATTAGGGTGAAGTAAAGCATTTACTTCTGTTTGCAGCGTCTATAGTTCATGTCCTGTCGTCGTAGTGTTGACTTGAATACTTAGTTATCATTGTTACCCTTACCGCCCACATTTTCAGCGAGATGACACTGCATTGAAAAGCGATTGCTCATAGCAGACGTTATAATAAAGGTGATGCAGATTTGCAATTTGTAAGTACTCTTCTTACCAGTGTGTCATTTCTAAAAGGCCCGAAAAAAAGTTTGTGCAAGATAAAGGAAGCTTGTTGTCTAGGTATATGAGAGAATATCATTCAGTGTACATCTAAGTTATAAATATGTAGCTGCCATAGCAGCGAATAGTCGATACAAATCAACAATAGCGAGCGCTTCATCACCGGTGAGCAGAAAGTACCACACATTTTTCAGTAACACTACATGTAGCATTATCAATCAGTCGACCATATTTAATAAATCTCAGCCAACAATAACTTCAACTAATAGCACGGTATTGAATATAGTATGGGCGAATACACCGCACTTCGCAACCCTACCTTTTAGAAATCTCGGGAGAAGGGGGAAGGGGTTAGATAAGAGGTGTCGCAACATTCGTTTCCCTGTTGTTTCCTTCCTCTCGCACTGCAGGCAGATATTATGCGACTTCGGTGAGAACTTCTGAGTGCTCGACCTTGACGGAGAGGAGTCGCGGTCAGTTATACAGCCGCTGTTAGTTTTTCTTGGAGACTTTCGACGCAAAAAAAATTTGGTCTGTCTGTCTGTACATTTGTCTGTTTATCCACTCTTAACGACACCAGGTACTTAAAACGGCCGACCCCATTCGCAGCGCCGACC